TGGCTCAGGTGGCATCTTTCATCTTCTCTTGTTTTGGTGTGTTCTACAAACACCCTTTCCGTAAGTTACAGACAGCACAGAGCAGCTGCAAGCGTTTTTCTCCTGAAAAGAAGTTTTAGGTATTTGAGCTTCACTGGTTTTCAAAACGCCACGACTTCCTTAGAAAATGGTATTTTTACAAGGGTGTATGCCCACCATAACATGCGGTGCTCAGAAGATGCCACTCACACAAGTTCTCAACGGGCTGAAAGCAGCTGCAATGTTTTAAAGGCAAGTTTCTACATTAGAATCACAGAATATGAGGTTGGAAGGGACCTCAAGGATCATCTGGTCCAACCTATCTTGGCAAAAGCATGATCTAGACAACATGGCCCAGCAGCCTTCCCAGCCAAATCTTAAAATTTTGTGTCCAGTGTTGGGGAATCCACCAGTTCCCTGGGGAGATTATTCCAACGGCTGACTGTTCTCATTGTGAAAATTTTTCCTCTTGTATACAATTGGAATCTTCCCAGAAGCAACCTGTATCCATTACCCCTTTTCCATGGGACTCCTTGTAAAAATGGAGTCTCCATCTTCTTTGTAGCCACCCTTTAAACACTGGAACATGGTGATAAGGTCTCCCCTAAGCCTCCTCCAGGCTGAACAAACCCAGTTCTCTCAGCCTTTCCTCATACAGCAGGCTTCCCACACCTTTCATCATCTTTGGCCCTTCTCTAGCCCCCCCCCAGCCTGTCCACATCTTTTTTGTATAGTGGGGACTAAAAATGAACACAGCATTCCAGGTGTGGCCTGGCAAGTGTTAATACAGTGGAGTAATGACTTCTTTATCTCTGCTGGTCGTGTCCTTGTTGATGTAACCCAGCATCCTGTTGGCTTTCTTTACTGCAGCAGCAGAGTGTTTACTCACATTGAGGTGCTTGTCACCAGGAACCCCAGCCTGGTAGATCCCGGGCTGTGCTGCACTCCTGGATTATGATTTCCCAGGTGCAAGATCTTACACTTGTCCTTGCTGAACTTTCCTAGGGTTCTTGTTAGACCACTTTTCCAGCCTATCCAGGTCTTCCTGCAGAGTGCATCTCCTTTCTGGTGTCAGCTTCCCCACTCAGTTTGGTATCATCAGCAAACTTCATCAGGGTACACCTGATCCCAGCATCCAGATCATTTATGAAGACATTAAACAGTGTTGAGCTGATACTGATCCCTGGGGAACCTCACTTGTGACAGATTGCCAGTTTGAAAAGGAGCTATTTACCACCGCCCTCTGGGTGCGGCCTGTCAGCCAGTTCCCCAACCAACGCACAGACAACTTGCCGAGACTGTAACACATCAGTTTCTCTGGGAGGAGGCTGTTGGAAGAAGTATCAAAGTATCAAAAGCCTTGGAGAAATCCAGGCAGACAATGTCCACCGCTTGCTGCACACCAACCGAGCAGGTTACTTTGCTGTAGAAGGCCATCAGGTTTATTAAGCATGATTGGGAGTTGGGGCTGTTTAGCCTGGAGAAGAGGAGGCTGAGGGGAGACCTGATTACAGCCTACAAATACTTGAGAAGGGATGGTGGGGAGGTAGGGGAAGGGCTCTTTACATTAGTGATGGGTGATAGAACAAGAGGAAATGGGTATAAGCTTAGTCAGGGGAGATTCAGGTTGGATGTTAGGAAGTATTTCTTCTCTGAAAGGGTTGTCAGCCACTGGAATAGGCTGCCCAGGGGGGTGGTTGAGTCCCCATCCCTGATGTGTTTAAGAATAGGGTGGATGAACTACTTAGGGATATGGTTTAATGAGGGATTAGGGACGGTTGGATTGGATGATCTCTAAGGTCTTTTCCAACCTAGAAATCTATGAAATCTATGATTTGTCTTTGGTGAATCCGTGCTGGCTTTTCCCAATCACGTGCTTCATTTGACTTGCGATAGCCCCAGGGGGATTCGTTCCATAACTTTCTCAGGGACTGAAGTAAGACTGATGGGCCTATAATTTCCTGAATCCTCCTTTAAGCCCTTCTTGTAGATGGGGGGGACATTAGCTGCCTTCCAGTCTTCTGGGACGTCCGCCCATCTCCATGACTTCTCAAATGTTATGGAGAACAGCCTCACAACAATGCCAGCCAGATCTCTTAACACCCTCAGGTAGATATTGTCAGGCCCATCAATGTGTAGGGGTCAGCTCCTGGAACAGTTCTCATCCCAACTCTTCCTTTGCTGACAGTGAGGTCTGCGTTTGCACCATCCTGGGTTTTTGATCCCAAAAAACAAAAGGCGCAACAGTGGTGGTAAAGACAGCCCTCGGATCATCTTCGTGGCCTCCTCTGGACTCGTTCCAGCAGCTCCGTGTCCTTCTTGTGTTGGGGACTCCAGAGCTGAACACAGTATTCCAGGTGGGGTCTCAGGAGAGCTGAGTAGAGGGGCAAAATCCCCTCCCTCGACCTGCTGGCCACGCTGCTCTGGATGCCGCCCAGGACACGGTTGGCTTTCTGGGCTGCCAGCGCACGTTGCCGGCTCATGTTGAGCTTCTCACCCACCAGCACTCCCAAGTCCTTTTC